ATCCCATTATCTCAGGAAGTATTGGTGCTATGAGGTTGAACGCTAGCTTAAACGAAAGCCTTCAATGTCACGCACATTTTGCACTACTGTAGGTGCTGTGAATGTGTCGTTTAGTGCCCTAAAAACCCGCCAACAAAACGTCGGAATTTACATCAGATACCTCTGTAGGCGCATTCCTGGGTCCTCACCCGCTGGCACACGTCTGGGAGAAGGTGTACACGGGATGGGGTGTACAGCGCTGTACACGATGTATAGTGATCACGTGATTTTCCGTGAATCTGAAACCAAAATTCCTCGCGGAAAATCAATTTATTCTTGTAGTGACTTCAAGGGTTTAGCGCAGGAAGTGAAAGTAAATTGTACCCTAGCTACTGAGTACAAGACCTCTCACACCATCCTCTCCAGTTTATGTGCAGCGCGCACGATTTGCTTTTGGTTTTTTGATTTTGAAGCTTTTTGGTGGCGGAATCGTGTTGTTTGTGATTTTGTTGTTCGATCACGCCTTTTCATGAAACAACACCATGTGAAATTATCTGAAGTCGTAGAATTTTGCACACTTGACTTTGCTCTCCGATCCTGATATTTCCAACCTGGTCAAGATACTCAATTTCTCAAAAAATCAAAAGAGGAGCGTATGAAATTTCGAGAATCAGTATTGTGTGAAACAGCTTGATGCATCAGAGTCGCATCGCCTTTGAATGTTCATCGCAGGCGTGGGTCTGAAACTGCAATGCGAGAGCGTCTTGTTTGAAGATATCTACACGGGAAACTCTTTTGTGCCTTCTGTGCCCCTGTTCGCTTTGAAATCAGGACGGACAAGAAAGGCATCGAAGACCAGATTGGCCCAAAATGGCATCTCCTTCGTTCGCTCAAAGCTTTCAGCAAATCAAACATAGAATATCAAGCTAACCTATTGCAATGCCCGTGCAATGTATTATTGCGTACCACATTTACTGGCTCGTTCATAGTGAGCAAAGGGACATCGGAGAATCGACACCGCGCGTCCCCGATGCAAGCAGCGGCACCGCCATTGACGGCTGGAAGTGAAGCCTGCTTTTCTCCGTGGGATATACAGTCAATTCAGAGCTTGTCGCAAATTCCCCGCCAATTTGCTGGAGTTTTGCGGGCAACTTTGGTCAAGCTTTTGTACAAAATTGACCGTATAGGGTTGATGCTTTGAGAGGATGATCGCGGGCCAAATTGTTT